AACTCTTCTCTAAATTAATGAACCTAATTAATAAACTATCTTCAATTCAAGACATACCCGGCTGAACTTAGACTAAAAAGCTTCCAGGGTCTACCAGACCGGTTGCAACCAATGCAAACCAAACAAGTTACAGGCCCATTGAGGTCCATAACCACGAGTTATTCATGACCTCTTCACACACCGAGTCTAGCCGAGTGGTCGCTAGTACCACTGGCGGGTATGGAATCTCGGGTTTGATTCCCGAGTGGGGCAAAGCTTTACTGTTTTTTTTTAATCTTATTTGTAACACGGCGTCTAGAATTGTGTATATGGCAATAGGCTCATCCCCTATTACATACTCATGATATGAATAGTGAAAAATGGGTGTTACATTGTACAGTGGCATTAAATGCGATAATGTGCACATGTTACACACAGGGGTAAAAGGCGTAATGTTATGGTAGTTTTTTTCTTCTATGGCCAAAATTTACAAAATTAGTACATAGAAAAGTAGTCTCTAAGCATCGATAATAAGGTCTACATATAATGGAGTGACTGGATAACGGTTACCGGCGACCGCTTTCGGATTACGTGTAGGTAATACTTATCATGCACTTGACATTAAAACATTTCACTGTGAAATGTCAATGATTTTTAAAAATACTCATTTGTACTATTTTTAGTATCAATTAGAATTACAAAGACTACATACGGATGATTGGCCTAGTAATAGTTAATTGTTTGTTAATTATTTTACTAGTTCAAGGCTTTCTACGCACTGAGGTTATCTGTTGGCTGTTTAATCTTTGGTTAGTTTTGAGCCATCTTATAAGGTAATAAGGTACAAAATATAAGATAACAAGGTTTTTGGTATAAAACAATACAACCGACGCTTCCTAGTGCTCTCTGGGCCTTTAGCCAAACACCACTTTAGCGCTTGTCTACAGAGAGAGTAGAAAACTAAATGTAAGGGGATAACACTGACCAGTGCCAAAATTTACGTCAATCCCATATAATTTGGTTTTCTATTCTACATGTAGACAAGCGCTAAGTGGCATTTGGCTACAGCTGCTGGTTCGGTGAAGGCGAGATGAGTAGACAAGAAATCGTCACGGCTTTAAGGCTCCAATCTGGACATATGCCTCTTAATAGTTTCGGATTCATGATGCATAAAGTCGAATCACACAATTGTGCTGTGTGTGATGTTGAAGAGGATGTGCTACACATTTTGTATGAGTGTCGACGTATTGAGTCTCAGAGGTATCAGGTCTTTAGTTTTAAGAGCTTTAATATTGGTTTTTACCACAGAGTTTTAGCGTCATCATTGTCATCTGAGGCTAGAAAATTGAATTTCTTTATATTTTTGTTTGGAACATTGCAAACCAGTTTAGCTAAACGCCACTTTAGCGCTTGTCTACAGAGAGAGTAGAAAACTAAATGTATGGGGATGACACTGACAAGTGTCAAAATTTACGTCAATCCCATATAACTTGGTTTTTTATTCTACATGTAGACAATCGCTGAGTGGCATTTGGCTACAGCTGCTGGTTCGGTGAAGGCGAGATGAGTAGACAAGAAATCGTCACGGCTTTAAGGCTCCAATCTGGACACATGCCTCTTAATAGTTTCGGATTCATGATGCATAAAGTCGAATCACACAATTGTGCTGTGTGTGATGTTGAAGAGGATGTGCTACACATTTTGTATGAGTGTCGACGTATTGAGTCTCAGAGGTATCAGGTCTTTAGTTTTAAGAGCTTTAATATTGGTTTTTACCACAGAGTTTTAGCGTCATCATTGTCATCTGAGGCTAGAAAATTGAATTTCTTTATATTTTTGTTTGGAACATTGCAAACCAGTTTAGCTAAACGCCACTTTAGCGCTTGTCTACAGAGAGTAGAAAACTAAATGTATGGGGATGACACTGACAAGTGTCAAAATTTACGTCAATCCCATATAACTTGGTTTTTTATTCTACATGTAGACAATCGCTGAGTGGCATTTGGCTACAGCTGCTGGTTCGGTGAAGGCGAGATGAGTAGACAAGAAATCGTCACGGCTTTAAGGCTCCAATCTGGACACATGCCTCTTAATAGTTTCGGATTCATGATGCATAAAGTCGAATCACACAATTGTGCTGTGTGTGATGTTGAAGAGGATGTGCTACACATTTTGTATGAGTGTCGACGTATTGAGTCTCAGAGGTATCAGGTCTTTAGTTTTAAGAGCTTTAATATTGGTTTTTACCACAGAGTTTTAGCGTCATCATTGTCATCTGAGGCTAGAAAATTGAATTTCTTTATATTTTTGTTTGGAACATTGCAAACCAGTTTAGCTAAACGCCACTTTAGCGCTTGTCTACAGAGAGAGTAGAAAACTAAATGTATGGGGATGACACTGACAAGTGTCCAAATTTACGTCAATCCCATATAATTTGGTTTTCTATTCTACATGTAGACAAGCGCTAAGTGGCATTTGGATACAGCTGCTGACTTCCTAACTACAGGCTTAACTTTCTAAATATAAAGGAAACGTTGTTTCACGCCGATATTTTGAGAGGCCGTAGTATCGCTTCAATGCAGCCAGCCCGTTTATGCTGGAGCATGGTTCTACCACGTGGAAAATTGTGGTTGCAAAACTAACAAGGCGTTCTCGAATTTTTCACAATTATTATTCTTTATATTAGACATTCATATTAATTTTCATTAAATAAAAAACAAACATTATAGTCCATGTATGACTCCTTACATTATCCATAACGTTTAAATAACATTGGTGTGAAAGGTGTGTGCAAAGTTCGCTTATACCTAGAGAGGTATATTAACTCGTCGAGTACCGGTTTTATAGACACAATTAAAGAACAATAGGTCGCGGTCACCGGTGACCGCTTGGTGTTTGACAGTTTAAACATTATTTTGCATACAAATCTAGTATAATTAAAAATGAATCGATGAGTGTGTTGCTAAGCGCAATCTCGAGAACTGCTGAACTGATTTCGCTGATTCTTTTTTTGTTGGATTTGTTCTTGTTAGGAGAAGGTACTTGTGTAAGAAAAATATAACAAAATGCGCAGAAGAACTTTCAAGGCAAAATAAATTTCGCGGGATCCACTGAAACTTAATTAATATTAATACATAAGCCATTATTGTTATAATTCATTTGAAATTTCATTATGCACAATACCGCATTATTAATTAAATAAACAATGTAGTAACATTAACATATTTTTTTCGTTAGATTTACTATTATTTTGACGTCAATGCGTTTTTGTAGTGTACCGGTATAAGTATGTATTACAAAAGTAATAGTTTTACCTGTTTCAGTGACTGGTAACGTCAAAAATAGGTAAAATAGAAAGGTATACATGTGGGCACGCGCCAGTTTCTTACCCTCGAGTTGACAAATCGGAATAAGTCATTGTGGTTAAACTAGAAATGTAAAATGAAATAAAATGAATTTCATTTGTGTTGTGATTTTGCATAATAAATCATCTTTATTGTTACATTTGTATTAGTTTAATGACATTCCACTTTTGCCGAAGACACATTCCAATTAAATAAATGTTGATTCTCTATTTCATTCTTAGTTTTATTTATTAACTAGCTTTTATCCGCGGCTTCGCTCGCGTCACAAAACAATAAAAAGTAGCATATGTGACATATACCAATACACACAGCTTACGTCTGCAAAAATTCAAAGCAATCGGTTGAGTAGTTACGGCGTGAAGGTGGAACAAACAAACAAACTCACTTTCAGATTTATAATATTAGTAAGGATTACCTACCTATGCAAAACAACAACCGATATTTTTAATTTACCTACCCTTAGGTAATGGAAAGCCGCAGTTCCAATAACAATAATATTATTGTTATTCAAATTTTAATAACAATTCATTATAATGCGCACAGATTGATCATTCATTCTTCTAATACCACATCATTTATTCATTATTCTAATGGTTTTAATAAATTATATTGTATTATGATTCTTACTAATTGCCTTGCTGTTAGTTATCCTTGCAATTGAATGGCATTCATTAATAAAAGGATTTTATTTAGTTAAAGTTTTACTGCCACAGATAACTGGTGAAGGCAAATCTCCATTAACGTCAGTCACCGGTGACCCCCATGGCGTTCAATGTGTTAAGTATTTTTGTATGTATTGCGTTGTTTATTAAATTAGTGGGGATTCTGTGATTGGAATTCGATAAATATTTGTAATTCATGTAGTCCATGACAGTATATTCTTAGACTGTAAGCCTACGTAAGAGGATTTACCATATTTTCGACTCTTGGCAGGCTGGTTGGAGCTTGCAGTCAAGAAGGTTCAGGTTTCTATGTTGAAGTATGTTGTACCTAAGTCTTTTTTTGAGGGGGAAAGTTATCGAATGACTTCTCCCGCCTGTGTGAGGCGAGAGGGAGTGTCAGACTTTTACTGACTAAAAACCACCCCGTTCCTACTTCTGCACTTCGAGCCGGAGCCCCGGTAACCCGTTAAATCCTCCACGGCTCCGTATTGGCTTCAGCCCTATTGGGCCCCAGAACGCGACGCGGCATACAAAGTCTGAGTTTAGATACGGCACCCGCTAAAAGGAGTGGTGACAAAATATTATTATTATCTTCTAATAACCAGTTTTTATTTAATTGGATTAATGAATCTCACTAATATAGAATTTATGCGTATAAATATTGGGCACAAAATTGGTTGTTTTTGATATATCACAGAGAAAGATACATCTTATCACATTAGTTTGAATGAGTTACGGATAGATGGCGTTGCATATCAAAGTGCTCATGCGCATATTTAATACGTGATTCGAAATTTGAATTTATACATTGTTTTGATGTAACAATACTAAGTTAATTTTAAAAATTGAATTAAAAAGTTATGAATTATTCAGCGGCTACATAATAAATTATTATTTAATAATGAATTCAAATGTGTAGGTAATTGTAAACACGTATGTACCTAAGTTTTCTTTTAATTTTCAGTAATGACATTTTTCGCATAATTACTTTTATTTACAATTTACCTAGAATAATAACTAGGTAATGGTAATTTCTAATTAATAGTCTAATTATAGCTACTTTGGCCTTGACTTACCTACGATCTAAATTTACTTAGACAAACAACGAAGGACAATACATCGTAAAAAGGTAATTACGTGAATGTTTTTGAATTAACCGCAGTGCTCAATGCTCATATTTATCTCTATATGCATAGAAATATAAAATTGTGGTTACTCTGACAAATCATTATCTTTATCCATCAAATAGCGACCCGTCCCGGTTTCGTACGGGTGCAATATGCATGTATTATACATATGAACCTTCGTTAAAAATCACTAAATCTATCAAAAAACAAAAAACCTCATCAAAATCCGTTGCGTAATTTTAAAGATCTAAGCATACATAGGGACAGACAGACTGCGGATAGCGACTTTGTTTTATACTATGTAGGGATGTCTAATATTAAATATAGTTTCAACATTCGATAGAAGTCGGTTAGTTCGCAATCATTATGAGGGACTACTATATTTGCACGCTATTGTATACGGCAGTCGCGGAGAACCTAACGGGTTACCGGGCTCCGGCTCGACGTGCAGGAGAAGGAACGGGGTGGTTTTTAGTCAGTAAGAGTCTGACACTCCCTTCCGCCTCACCCAGGCGGAAGAAGTTCGATGACTAACCCGCTTAAAAAAAAATTGTATACGGCAAACATGTCTCGAACTTTTTTCACTGTTACCGGCTATCTTACATGCGATTATTTATTGTATGTGTTTGAGTAAATAAATATGATTTGATTTGATAGTACCACAACGGTCACAACTTAATGTTTAGATGGAATAAAAATTACTTTAAAATTTCGTTGTGTTTCGTGTTTCTAAGTGCGATTGGGGACTCGCTACTATTGATGGTCTTTTTTTTAGTTATGCTTTTTGCAATTGGCTAGTTTCCTAGGTTTAAAATAAATAGTTTCAACTTTTCAATACAATAAATAATCCTTACTAATATTATAAATCTGAAAGTGAGTTTGTTTGTTTTTTTGTTTGTTCCACCTTCACGCCGTAACTACTCAACCGATTGCTTTGAATTTTTGCAGACGTAAAGTTAGAAGTCCGGATTAAATAATAGGGTACTTTTTAACCCGGAAAAAAATCATATTCCCGAGGAAAAACAAAAGTAATGGTATAGATGGCGCTGTGTGTATTGGTATATGTCACATAGGCTTTTTATCCTTTTGTGACGCGAGCGAAGCCGCGGGTAAAAGCTAGTTAAAAAATAATCATACTCTATTGATCTATATCTCATATCTATTGATTTGACAATTTACCTACTTTTGGATTTCTTCTCGCTAATATTAAGGAAATAAGTATGCTATTTGACGCAAAAATATGATGACGTCATAAGTTGCGATCCAATACAAAATTCATAAAAAAGTATCGTTTTTGACATTTCAATAAAAGTATTGAATTTTACTACCTGTCAACTACCGTATTGGTTTGTAATTTTGCTAGTGCATAACATTTTGTGGAAAAATAGTTTTATATTATTTTTACATTGACAAAAATAGTTTTATATTATTGTAACATGTAGCGGGTCGATTCCCATACAGTGCAACGCTTTTTGTGTTCTACGAATTATTGTTCCGGGTCTGGGTGTGATGTGTATGTGAACTTGTATGTTTGGAAACGCACCCGGGATACAGGTCAAGATCCTAGTGTGTGGCAACGTTCAAAAAAAAAGAACTATAACTGATTCCTATAAGAATAATCTTCCTAATATAATAAATTAATGTATATCAGTTTGACGAGGAAATATAGGTCCCTACTATTTTTAGCATGCACGTATACCTCTACTTAATACATAAATTCATTAGTTTAAAAATAACTTGTTATTACAATTGTATTACTTGTTTTAGTTTATATTTCGCTAACTTACCCTGACCTCTTCAGTTACACAATGTATACATGTATAGGTACATTTTTCTAGGAATTAATGTAAATAGGTTTTAACCTACTTCAAAAAAAAAACAACTGCATGTAACCGAGGTAAGCCCAGGTAATAGGTATTACAAATACAAAACAATTTTTGTGTTAAATTAAGGTCTCGTACGTATAATTATATATTATACTTCCCTATATTTGTTTTCATACTTGATTAATATATTTTTAAATATTTGAGTAAAAAAAATAAATATCTTGATTTGGCTCACGAGGTTGTCGACATGTGGAATGTAGATTCGGCTATCATTGTGCCGATAGTCGTGTCAGCCAATGGATTAATCCCTAATACCCTCGACAACCACCTTAGGAGGCTAGCGTTAGGCAGTTGGGTCAAGGGCCTGATACAGAAGGCAGTTCTCCTTGAAACGGCGCGCATTGTGAGGAGGTTTCTGTCTCTGGAGCCCTAACCACCGGTAGCTTGGACCATGCTCCCACTACTGGTCGGCTCCTATTTTTATATTTTTAAATATTATTTTTATACTGTAGTATTTAAAAATGTAATTTTAGAGAAAGTTTAAATAAATATATGGATATAAATCTATAATATATAATTATTATGTATCTATATTACTCAATCCGGAAAAACAGTTTTGTGTATGAGTTGTACGATTTGGGAATCGATCCCTTTGTGTTTTATAAAAAAATATAGTAGCCATCTGTCCTCTTGTATATGTTGAAAGTTCGGGTACTTATAATGTATTTTATACCGGGAGCCGGTGTTTCAACAGATAAAAAGCTATAGTACCTTCGATATAAGAATAAAACTTGCTGATAACTTAACAAATCAAACAAAATGTGCAGTAGAGACAAAGCTTAAAAAATTGGAAAATTCTTACCACAATTAGTTAGTTTAAATTGTTTGCTGTTGTTAACTGTAAACAACGCTTTTTATTCTAGTAGGTATTAATTTAATATAATAATGATGTATTTTAAATTTAAATATTTAAGTTTTTTCGCGGTAGTTACTTTTATTATTGAATTGATCAATGTAAAATGTCTTTCTAAGCGCCAAACTCGAGAATGGTAGGACGTATACGGATGAATTTTTTTTGCTAATAGGTAGTTACATATTAATTTAGATAGGTAATTCGAATAAGAGTTTTAATAAAAAGAAAAGTATTGGAAAATATTTTAATACTCAATCAAGTAAGTAATGTAGGTAACATTTAGTAAAATAAAAAATTACTCTCTTCTACAACAAATAGTAGTACTTTATACATACGTAAGTAACTCATTCCTTACTAGGTAAGATACAGTATTAAAGTCATATTTTGCATCTATACATAACATCACACCTTTTATCCCCGAAGGGGTAGGCAGAGGTGCACATTGCGGCACTTAATGCCACATCTTTTATTTTATCTTTCAGTAAGTAACAATAACATTTTTATGACCTAAATTTAATTACTTGAATTAATTCATTGTCAGAAGTCAATATTGTAGTCTGTAGATAATAATGAGGCCTTGATTATATTCGGAAATTTGCCTAATTTAATAAATCTAGGTCTATTGTCTCGATAATATGTAAATAAATTAGGCAATGCAGGTGTTAATAAATAATACTAAATGTTTTTTTGATTAGACGAAGTTATAATACGGAAGTCCATTGTTTTGTGTAGAATATTTACATACAAGGTTTCTGCACCAATTATGGTCGGAATGAGTACATTTTTTTCTGTGGATTTTTCTAAAGATTTTTTTTTATATTTGGTGGGCCGACGTTTGGCCACTATCTCGCCTGGTGGTAAGCGATGATGCGGTCTACGATCTAGAATAATTAAAGGGGTCAAGTCGACGTAGAAAGGGGTATTTGACTTGTACGTGATTTACACAATCTAGATTGCTTACTTATCATGGTGTTGCAAAAAAATTTGGCAAACTCATATTTCTTTTTGCAATGTGATGTGCTGAAAATGGGTGTTTTGGAGTTCGGAAGCCTTTGCTTCCTTTTTTTTGTATTGATTAGTGTGTTAAGAACACTTACTGTTTGGAGATCCTCCCCTAAACATTGGGTTGGGAGCCATCCAGGGAAATGCTCCGAACGGCCAGGAGTGCGGCGGCGGGCCCTGGTACAGCCGCGGCAGTAGCGGCTGTGGCACCACCACTCCGCCTCTCGTCTCCAACTCCTCCCCATCGTGACCGTTCTCTCTCTCTTCCCGATCATCAACATTCGAGTCGACATCCTCGATGTCAACGTCACTCTCGTCGCTCTCAGGCGCCGCGTCGGTACTCTCCGCGTCATTACTGTTCGTGTCGGCCACAGTGTCCTTCACCGGAGCGTCCTGTTTACCCCCCAGCAGAGAGTCCACGCTAAAAGATATCCGGCCTTTCCCGCCGCTTTCGGCGGTCTCGGCACGCTCGCATTCGAGCGAAGTCTTCATTTCATCTGCTCGATGACATTTCAATTAAATTCGCGCCCTACCCCCGACGGCTTATCTCGCCATTTTTTTTTTTCGTAAATCGTCCAATTACAAATGTTTGTCTAAGAATCTGTTTAGAAATTCAAATGAACACTGGTCGTGTCGTTAACTAGATGTCCCATTATCGTGTTTGTAATTTGTATTTGTAATTCAGTTCCATTGCTAACGATTAAACTGGTTAAAGTTTGTTAATTGATTTCGCGTCGATGTATTATTTTGCAAGTTTCCGTTAATTGCAATTCGCGTTCATATGCACATGGTGTTATTAATTGCACTATCCACGTCAGCGGTCCGATGTAGTGGTCGAGTCAGTACATCACTATTATGGCAAACAGTCGAATTAGCACAATTGGCAGCACTAATAAAAAAAATAAAATCGGAATATGGAGCGTGGATTTGAAATGAGAACGTGCGGTCGCGGCGCGGCGCGGAAACTTGCGAATGTGTTCGGAAACGAGCGATATCTCCGTGTAATGATTCGCGTGGAAGCGCGGTGAAAATCGCGCCAGCATTGGGGCGCAAGCCGCGGCCGCGGACCGCCTCTCCTCCCGGCCGACAGAGATGCAGCTACCGACCGAGGAATTTTAATAAGCGGCGCGGAGCGAACGAGACGACGATACAATCCGACATGTGTGTAAACGCGATATTGAGTAGGCGGGGTCCGTCGCGCTCAAATTAATAGTCTCCACGGAATACGCCTTATAGATTTGCGCGAGAGTAGACTAATTTGAGCTGTTCTGTGCAGTTATAGGGTTGAGTTTGGCGTGTGTTGTGTAACAATAAAATGACGTAACGGAGCCGAGCGTGTTGGATTGCAGCGGCTATTGTGTTGAATGAAAAAGGAGTAAATAGACGGGTGCTGTAGGCGGCGTAGAGGGGACTTTACGATTTAATTATTCGCGAATGCGGAGGCATTTTGTAGCGAGCTAATGTCTCATTGTCTCATTAATATCTCGGGCGGGCCGGCCATGTTTGATTTGTTTATGACGAAGGAGGTGTGCAGACGTTCAGCTGAATGTTTTGTTTGGCGACAGTTGGGAGTTCCGAAGCGGAGATTCAAGCGCCGCCGCTCGCCACTACTAAATTAGTTGGTAGTAACATGTCTTGTTTAATTTGTGAGCTTTACTCGAGTTCCACTGAGAGTTACGACGTTTTTATGTTCGGGACAGTTTGTTTGGGGATATTTTTAGGGTTTCAAGGGATACTATCTAAATAGGTGTTTGTGGCATGAAGGCTTTAGGGTAGATTTGAGATTTTGCTGGAGCATTCTAAAAGACATCCTGTATATACAATAATATTCAGGGTGTTAAATCTTAAATTACAAAACTCGTTTAAAAAATAATTTCGAAAGAAGGGACGGACATGAAATCAAAATGAGATATGAACTTAAAAATCAATAAACCTCGTTACTAAAAGAAATCCCGAATCAAATCATTAGCGCCATGTCACTTAACAGTTAATCGTATTACACTGATATCTACAATCTCATTGTGCAACGCACAAAAAGATTTCCTTCCCCTCTAAAAACAAAAACCAACTCTATCACAACACCATAAGGTTCAAAAACCAACAACACAAAATTGACGTTGTCAATTCGCAAATATTAACAAAAGACGATGTGTCCCCTAATTTTGTTGGTGAAAAATGTGCTTTATCCGTTTGTAATAGAGTCGATTTGTGTGTGTAATTAATGGTGCACGTCCCTTATCCAATTAATGTAATTTAATAGCACAAAGAGATTAACGTTTGCTTTAATTGAAAGAGTATAAAGGCAGGGAACATTATTAGCTTACGCTACGCCATAAATCTTTAATTCATATTGACGTATAAGTGGACAATTTGGTATCGCGCGATGCGACCGACTGTATATACGTTCCCGTGGTTTGATAATGCCAATATGAGCAGGCGAGAAATAGTGACAAGTTTAAGAATTTTTTAAAAACCTAGTAATGCTTTGCCCGACCCGGGAATCGAACCCGAGATTCCTTGCGCGGCAGTTGCACTGGCAACCACTTGACCAATGAGGTAGTCAGTTATATGAATAATAACACATTTAAAACGCGGAAATAAAAAAAATAAACTATTCTAACTAGTTATTCAAATAATTACGTAGCGCGTAGCAAAGCGTAGACGCTGCGTAGACAATGTGTGCTTGTTTATGCGTAGACGCCTAATTAGGTACTATTTTTGATTTTACTTCCACGTTCGTAAAGTTGACAATTTTTTGAGCAATTTTAAAATGATTTAATGTTGGTATTTATAGACGTAGACGTATTAAGTATACTTATGTATTTTTCTGTTCAGTTTAGTATTTTTTTCCAACGATTACCTAAATGTTAATGTGTGCTTCTCATGCATGAGGGGTTTTGCTCAGCAGTGGGCATTTATAGGCTGTTGATGATGACCTACTAAATGTTGACGAAAATTAGTCATACTGATTATATATATACATACTACGTATGATATACTCTCAGTAAATACAAACTCTACCAGATCTCGATAAAACAATCGAACAATTCCATCGTAATCCAGTTCAAACCTAACAAACCTATAAAACCAATCAAAACTACCATTTTGAAACAAACAGCCAATCCTAACATAGCATAACGCAAGCTAAGTATGTTCATAACGCAGTTGATCCACAGCTTAGCGCCGTAAATGTCCAAAACATGATTATTTTTGATCTATTTATGTAAGTATATTTGTATAATAATGATCTATGATCCGATTGTGGTTGGGACTTGTTACTGAGATCAAACGATTGCCCTGTTCAAACGATTGTTTTGTAAGATGAGATTAGATGGTCCAAAGATTACAAATAGAGGTAAATGTTAAAGGGTAGCGTAATTGGTAACAATAGATTTCGGTTTTGTTTGTTAAATGTTTTTTTTTGTTATTGATATTGTGTACACAGCTTAATTTCGGGTAGTGGTAGGTACTAGAGACTAGCTCGTTGGCCGAGTGATCGCAAGTGTGACTGCTGGGCAAGGGGTCTCGGTTTCAATTCCCGGGTCGGACAAAGTAGTACTGGGTTTTTAAAGATTTTTTTTTTAAATACGTTGCCCCACACTAGGATTTTCTCCTGTGTCGTGGGTGCTTTACAAACATACAAGTTCACATACACAATGACACCCAGACCCGAAACAACAATTTGTGGATCACACAAAGTGTTGTCCCGTGCTGGAATCGAACCCGCGACGCGTTGCACGGCAGCCGGTTGCCCAGCCACCGCACCAACCGTGCAGTCAAAAGATTCTCAGTAGGTAGTAGTGCGGCGTCTGAAATTGTGCCCGGTATATGGCAATAGGCTCACTCCTTATTACATGGGACTCATAACATAAATAGTGAGAAGTGGGTGTTATATTGTACAGTGGCATAATGTGCATCTTTGGCCTACCCCTTCGGGGATAAAAGGCGTGATGTTATGTTATGTGGTAGGTACTGGGAAGTGTTTTGTATTCGATCTCTAGATTTGGTCTAGTGTTAATTAATTGTTGTGTTAGTATAAGGTCTAAAATTGTACGTCATATAGAGGTATAGAAATACACCAATAGTATTTAGTTCATTGCTAACAGTTAATGTGACTTGAGTATTTTTTTAAGGGGGGAAAATCATCGAATGACTGCTCCCGCCTGGGTGAGGCGGAAGGGAGTGTCAGACTCTTACTGACTAAAAACCACCCCGTTCCTTCTCCTGCACGTCGGCGTCCAGCCGGAGCCCCGGTTACCCGTTAGGTTCTCCGCGACGTGACTTGAGTATGTAAGTGCCTAAGTGGGCATGTAAAAAATCTCGACATATTCTTCCCTAGATTTATAGGCGCGATTATTATAGCTAGAAATATGATAATTTTAATTCATATGTTTTTTTTAAATGGGATTAGCCGGTACACGATCAGACGGATCATGATGGTAAGCAATCGGCGTCGCCCATGGACACCTGGAATACCAGAGGCTTTACAAGTGCGTTTTGGGATTAGGGATTTGAGGATTGTTGGGGATTCAGGGATTGGGAAAGAGAGAGGGACTGTATATAGAGAAACTAATTTGATCCCCGAAAATTACGTGAACATTTTTTACCTACGTTACAAATGTGTTCATAAGTCAGTACCTACTCGTGTATCAACGATTAAGTTATCATTTTTACTTTATATTAATTTTGAGAATAAACACTTTCGTAAATTGCATTAGGTACCTACTTAAAAAAGAAGAAAGAAAACCCATAGCTTTAGGAATACTTAACCAATAATTTAAGAGGTCCTTAATTAACGTTTCTATTACCATAAATAAGTTGGCGAACCGACGGGAGACGTAATAAAATTTTGTTATTCTCCCACCTACTTCACAAGGGGCGCAAACTTGAAATTTACACAGAAATAATACAAGAAAAGGGCAATCTTTTTAAATAATGACTTTCATATTCCAAGAGTAGCGGCAATTTAGAGATGAGGGATTCTGGGGCGGTTTTTTTTTATTAAAAAGTCGAGAATGACAACGATAGTGAGGGGCGACGGCCATTACTCCGCGAAATGAGTTTTCAGTTCGCCGTTTTTTCTACGATGGGAGATATCTACAGGAGGTTACTTTTACAGGTTACTTATTTATTCAATGCTAGCTGTTTGTCTGCTTAAATCGTGTCGAATTTAGATCTCTTTCGAGTAGGTGTCGAATTCACGATGCTGTACAAAAACTGCCGGGCAATGGGTCTCGGGTTCGATTCCCGGGTCTGGTAAAGTACTACAGGGTTTTTAAAAATTCTCAGTAGTAGCACGAAGTCTGGTATTGTGCCCGGTATATGGCGATAGGCTCCCCCCTATTATAGGCTCCCCCCTATTACACGGGACTTATAACATAAATAGTGTAAAGTGGGTGCTACATTGCACAGTGGCATTAAGTGCCGTAATGTGGACCTCTGCCTACCCTTCCGGGGATAAAAGAGGAAAAAAGTATAATTTATCAAATAGACTATCGATACCATGCAGTATTTTATGTAGAAAAAAATTAAAACAGGTACTTTATTCAGTACCTAAATACACAGTTAATTATTGGCATTGTTAAATATTATTATATTTATGTGTCCGTTGGACTTGTAAATTAAATTAAGGTATAATTTGTAAATTTTAACATTGTATTCTTTTTGTTAACAACTTTGAGTGTAAGTATTTGTTAATTATTTAAGTAAACACTGTTCTTAATACAGGTAGGTAAATGTTTAAGGAGTTTACTTTTTTAATTTATATTTTTATGCTCGGCATCCTGGCCATATTATTAAATAATTATCACCAATGACTTCATGTTTTGTAGTTTTTAATCCAGGATTTACAGTAAAGACGCATCTAAAGGACATTAACGACTTGGTGACCCGTTAGGATTGGGCATGTCCGCCAACACCGCGCAGTCAAAAGTAAAAAAACTACCTTAGTAGATAGAGACCATGAGTACATGAGAGATCATCTAATAAATGTTGACAGTCATATGAAATAAATATTTATTTAAATTTAATGTTTAATACATACTTTGGGTATAAAAAGAATAGGCTCGCTATTCGCATAGTATTATATTTTTAAGGGGGGAAAATCATCG